TTGGATAATTTTGTCGTTCATGTGAACTAGCTTTCTTCCACCCACCCTCAAGTGGTGTTGCACCCGTTTTTGTTCATGTATGTAGTGCTTAAAATAGCTAGAATATGCTTACTAAGTCACATACGAATGCCTCAAGAATCCTGACTCTTACTGGATGAACTTCTTCACGAACTATTTTCAGTTGTAATATAAAGCCTGTTTACCTAGGCACTGAAACTGGCTACTATTTTTCCAGTGCCTCAAGAATCCTGACTCTTACTGGATGAACTTCTTCACGAACTATTTTCAGTTGTAACATAAAGCCTGTTTACCTAGGCACTGAAACTGGCTACTATTTTTGCAGTCCTTGATAGTGTATCAAACTTTATGAAATTTATCACTTTTCTCTACATTTGGTTTCCATGTATGGTGTGACTCAGCATCGGTTTACTTGTTTCCTTCTATTGGCTAGATATGGGAGGATATTTTGGGATTTGAGAATGCCGAGTTTTACATCAAAAGGTGGCCTCAATTGGATGGTCACTTTTTCAAAGATGTATTAATTTCATTTCCTGATGCAATACCTTGTGGAGTTAAGGTTGCTGCTGATGGGGGAAAGATTATCATCAATCCAGATGATAGTTATGTTCTGAGAGATGGGGATGAAGTCCTTGTCATAGCTGAGGATGACGACACTTATGCTCCAGGTCCTCTTCCAGAGGTTATCTTTCCGTTTCAACTTCTCTTATGATTTCCTTATTGGAAAATATGCTGATTTGGTGCTTAGAATCTTGTATATGTTGCGCACTCTCTTGGATTTATTAAATAATCATAGTATTAGTAGGTGACTTGTGCATTACCTGGTGTTTTTAATGTTATATACTTTACACAGGTATGTAAGGGACTTTGCCCGAGGATACGTGATCCACCTAAATTTCCAGAGAAGATACTATTTTGTGGCTGGCGCCGTGATATTGATGATATGATCATGGTAATTCTCTTAATTGGATATGCTATACTATGGCCTTACTTACATATCCTTACTTTTTTTGACAATTGACACTGCTATTATGCACCATCCTATTGATGTTTTGAAAGGATTAATTCTCTTATTTAATAGCTTTATATACTCTTAACATGAACAACAGTAGCTGATATTCTTTTGGCTAAGATCATCAGGTTCCACTGGGCCACACCCTGTGGTACTACTATGTGGCAATGTCTTGGCCAGAAGGGCTTGCAGTGGGTTTCAATCTGCTACTAGCTGGTGTCGTTAGCCATATTTCCCAACTATTCTTTTGTCTTAATTATGTGAACAGGTTTATTGAGTCAATTTCCAGAATCTAGGGTTTGATTTTCTTAAAGGAAAAAGAAAACATTTAACTAATATAAAAATATCTGAAAACCTGTTTTATGAGAACTAAATTCTGAAATCTTAAGAATACTCTGACTTGTGGAATGCTCAGTGATGGTAAATAATCACTGCTTTAATCTAACAGATCCGTCTCCTAAAAATATGTGAGTTGACTCAACTGGTCTAAATTCATAATCCTCTGATACTACCTTAATCATTGTTGTTTAAAAGGTTTTAGAGGCACTCTTGGCTCCTGGTTCAGAGCTTTGGATGTTCAACGAGGTCCCCGAAAAGGAAAGAGAGAAGAAGCTTGTTGATGGTGGACTTGATGTTTCTGAGCTAGAAAACATAAAACTTGTCCATAGGGAGGGGAATGCTGTAATTAGGCGGCACCTGGAGGGTCTTCCACTGGAGACTTTTGATTCTGTAAGTTTTGAATCTGTATCTCTTCATATTTGTAGTATTTCAGGTTTTATATGTATTAGTGTCTTTAGGAAGGAATCCTCCAGCACTTATGCACCATGTGAATATTAAGAGGCCTGTGTCATATATAACCAGAAGGTAAATCCAAACATAAGTAGATTACAAGATTATGCAAATTGATTCGATAAGAATTTCGGATAAGTGATTGATTATGCTTCCATCTGACCAATACCTGCTTCCTTTCAAAAATAGAAAATTTAATTTGATTAGAAGGATTCAGCAGACGGTATAAAATATCCATGCTGTAAACACATAATTATGAGCAGCAACAAACGCTAGTCTCACTAGTTGAAGTTGGCTCTATTAAAGATTAAATTGCGAAATATGGCAAGCTTATATATCTACATTTTTTATTTTTGGTTGCGGGATCTTTCTTAAAACTCTTTAAAAGCTTTATATCATGTTTCGCTCGGGGATTTCCCTGTTTCATTTCTAGCATTCTAATACCTTGCTCAATTTTCATCATTGTATAGAAGTAAAATTATGAGCAAAGTGTTGAAAGGAGATTAAGTGTAATAAGATACCTCTAGATTAAAGGAAGTCAAGCAAGGTAAATTAAAATTCTCTTCAACTGTATACTAACTCTAAGAGGACAGATCCTTATTCTTGCAGATGAGTCAGTGGAGGACTCTGTTGCTCACTCTGACTCAAGGTCTCTAGCTACCCTTCTACTCATTCGTGACATACAGGTATCCAGTATGGTTGCATCAACTCAAATTAAGGATTTTGTGTTCACATCACTGACTAATGTCTCATTGTTTTATGAACTGACTTTCTAACAATCCTCCTCCTCTTTGTGTAGTCAAGACGCCTCCCATACAAAGACACGAAGTCAACTTCTCTGAGGTTATCCGGGTTCTCTCACAACTCTTGGATCCGTGAAATGCAGCAAGCTTCTGATAGATCAATTATAATTAGTGAAATTTTGGATTCTAGGACTAGAAATCTAGTGTCTGTCTCCAGAATCAGTGATTATGTGTTATCTAATGAGCTGGTTAGCATGGCACTAGCAATGGTTGCCGAAGACAAGCAAATCAACCGAGTTCTAGAGGAATTATTTGCAGAGGAGGTATCCCACATTGAACTTATTCTTACTGTCTCTTGCGATATAGATTTCAGTTCATTTTCAATTTCTTGTCATGTTTAATTTTCCAATTTCTAAACTTCTGGTTTAGCATTTGTTTTAAGTAGATTTTGTTTATGCTTTTGGATTACCAGATCAAAATTACTTATATGTTGGACTTTTTATTAACTTATGCAGGGAAACGAGATGTGTATCAAACCAGCAGAGTTCTATTTATTTGACCAGGAAGAACTGTGCTTTTACGATATAATGATTAGGGGTCGAACAAGAAAGGAGATTGTTATCGGCTATCGCTTGGCTAACCAAGATCGAGCCATTATCAACCCTTCAGAAAAGTCAGAGCCAAGAAAATGGTCCCTTGGTGATGTTTTTGTTGTTGTTGCCAAAGGAGATTGATTTTCTTCCTTTATGCCGTGATGAAGATGATGATTGTTATTCATTTCAAACTAGCTGGGAACATGGAGGCTCCTAAAAGTTGAAGGACCTGAGATTTTACCCGTCAAAAGATTCTTCTAGATTTTGGTTAATCTCTTTATTTGATGTGGAATTATGTTTATAACATCACTGCAACTTGTAAAATAATGTCTCATATAGGTAACTGAGGAGGAGTTAAAGTGTAGAGTAACTCTTTTACATATATGTAGAAACTATGATGAACTCATTGTTCAATGATAAAAAAAGAGATTTTTCTGTAACCTAAAGTGAAAAGTCCAAATCAACACACCCAATTTTTAACTCCCAAAATAATTGATTGGGTTGGTTGGAGCCGTTTTAGGATTGGGTTAAAAAACTCATCTAACTCAACTATATATGGTTAGTTATATGAATCCTCCCTTTTCTTGCTTATCTTCTATAAATCTCATTTATTTAATTTTCATAAAGAGATAAATACATAAGCTTTTATCATGTGAAATTGGAAGAGAAGAAGATTTACTTCTACTAATGGTTGTTGTAGTATGTTGTTATCAGAAGAATGTAGATGAAATAAATAAACAGTAGAATGGTTCCATAGCATAGATTACTTCCGTGGCAATGTTGGTGATTGAGGCTACAACTCCAGAGATGGTCCCACCAGACAGCTCAGAATTCAATTGATACTAAGAGACTAAACAATCTATTAAAACCATTTTCTGCATATTAATATTGGACTGTCTAGCACTGATCAAACACTATAAAACTCTTTCACCAAGATTTTATTGAATCAATTCATTACAAGAACAAGAATATAAAGAAGATCCATAGTTGATAAGATACTCTTTATGAAAAACTTTGGATGCTACTATGAATAATATCCAGTATCCACCGTGGATGCTCTTTATAATGAGCTAGTAACAGTGGGCCACTATCTATAAAGAGGATGTAATTTATAAGATCACATGAATATAAAGAGCATCCATAGTGGCATATTTTATCATAAACATTACAGAAAGGCACATGAAGCTACAAGTACTGCCAGGTAAACTGATGTGGCCTTGTAAAGTCAACTATGTTACCACGTATGTATGACAACTGAGTGAGTTATTGTTGAGTACACTCCACTTCACCCCTTCAGCCTTTCACAGAATGTAATTAAAACCAAGCAAGTGTGCAATAAATAACTCAACTGCTCACAATAAGATAATAAAGAATGGTTGAGTGTGAAGGTTCAAGACACAGACACGTTCGCATCATCCTTCCCTGCTGTCAAATATGAACAACTCCTTCATTTCATTTCATATCTCTAAGCTTCTTTCTCACATTGCAACCTATTCACGCCGTTATTAACGTCCATCTATATTTCCACTCACACAATGACCAGTTCTAAGCTTTACTATTTTAATGTCTATTGTCATAGCCATGAAAAGAAGAAAGATCATTTTTTTAAATAGTTTAATGTTGTTGGCCTTTGAATGTTTACAAAGGCCTTCTGGGTTTTTGGTAGCATTTACATTAACTTCTCTAGAAGGATAACACAGTGTACTGTTTTTGAACATAAATATATACATATTTATGTGATTTTATAAAACTTTAGAGGATATTAGAGTAATTCTAAAAAGTGATGTATCTGTTAATGATAAGACTGAATAAATACTGCAAAATAAAAGACAAAAATGATGTATCTTTATACATAATGAAGACGACGAAATCCATTGTTGAGATGACAGAGGAGAGAATTACGTGTCTATTATACACAAACGAGAATACAAAAGATAATAGTATGATTTATTACTACTAATATTATATTGTGAGGACTTTGGTACAAGACAAAAAGGCATTCACACAATTCTCTTCTCCTCATATTGAAATCTTCAACATATCCATCATAAAATTCTCCATCATCAACTTAGATTCTTCAGCATAGAAGTTTACCTTGAATGTCTCTTTTCCTGCAAAACCCAAATGATCTAAAACATTAGTTCCTAATTAGGAAAGAAAGAGAAGAGAAAAGGGAGAGTAAAAAGAAGGGTTGCATTTGCATACCATAGTAGAATGAAGGGTGGCGCTGGAGTGGGCAAGAGGAAATTGGAAGCACAGGGAGATTCTGGCAGTTGCATATTTCTATCATATATCCATCTGGGTCATGGAAGAACAGTTGATCAACTTGAATTCCACCTTCTTCCACAACTGCTGTCACAAACTCAATCTTCATTGCATCAAGTTTCTGCATAATAATTTTCATGTCTAAGCATTGAAACGATATATGATTTTCCTTGGGGTTTATCTCTCTCTTTTCCACCGGAATCTTAGCTGACTCCAGTAGGTGAATGCCAATTCCATAGTTGAATAACCTGAACACAGTGTAATTATTATGATTTCAACCGGATTCATGAAAAAAAAGAAAGAAAGAAGCACTTCACAACATAATAAAAACTAGTTCAAACAGTATTCATTTAACATACCAAAACCAGTGCATTTGGACGAATTTACTTATAGAAACAGTAACAAAAGTTTAGAACTTGTATTGGGAGGAAAGAGAAGGAACGTTTATAATCACAGCGTGTATGTACTACATTTCTTCACTGAGTGAGTACTTTTCACCGAGCCAATTTAGTGCAAAAAAGAGTGTCGGTAGTTAAAATATATATAGTGTGGGTAAAAATTTGGAACATTGAATAGATATGAAATGTTGTTGAATGTTTAATCTTTGGTCTGTTGCCAAGAACAAAAAGTCAGTCTGCATCACAGAAATTGAAATTTGTGATGTCATTGTTAAGAGATCCAAACCAAAACCTGATCTGGTAGTAAGGGACATGTGGGAAAGCAGAAAAAAAGTAGAAAAGAAGTAAAAAAGAAGAAGAAAAGAAGCAGAAAACGAAAGAGAAGGAAGTTACCATGCCCCTTCAAATTTGAAAGAAGATGGTCTCTTGATAAGCACAAATCCAAGAACTTGTTCATAGAATTTGACAGACTCACTCACACTCTTGCATACAAAAGAGACATGATTTAGTGAAAGCAAAGGCAGAGGGGTAGCTGAAGCAGAAGACAGTGACCCTTTCTCTATCTTTCCCATATCTCACACTCAAACACCGACTTGGTTAAGGAAAGTGTTGTGTAATTGTGTTGTGTTGTTTTGTGTTTGTGAGGATGAAACCTTGCAGTGTGCTTATTATATAAAGGTAAGAGGACGAGTTTTATGCATACTTTACAGATAAAATGAAATTGGAAAACATCTGTTCACACCTCATCAATGATGATCTTAACAACCGCCTATAATTTTTCTCGCTGTCCCACCATGCCTCTGCTTGCGATGCAAAACGTGCAAACCTAAATTTACATCACAAAAAGAAACCATAAAAAAAAACAAAAAAAACTTGTTTTTAATTTCTTGTCATATTCAAATTTAACCTACTGTCTGGTTTTTCTCTGCCTCATTATGTCGGCGTCAGTGAGCTAACACCATCAAACCGCTCACTGTAACTGAGTTGGTAATTTTTTAAACACGGCAACACTTTTTTATATTTCTTTACTCTGTTTTTCAACACAGAAAACCTTATTTTTTTTTAACAGGGTATAAGAAAGAATGATAATTTACAAGAACAAAGAGACATACCCATCACCAAGATTTGAACTTTCAGATTTGGGATTGAAAATTTACAAGACGAAAAGGTGGGTGTGTGCATTTATCTCGAATGAAACAAAATGCTTCAAAAAACATCACACGTTTTACTTCTGATTTTTAGAAAAATGAAAATGTGAAAGCTTGGTTTTTTCATTATCCGCGTCATCTGATAAGAGCAAGGTGGGCCACGAGTGACAGAAGGAAGAATCTTTCTTCTTAACAAAATTGTGAAATTGTTTAAAAAATAATGATAAAGATATTTTCACAGTATCGTTTTTACAATATTCTAACACAATGAAATTAGTTCATATTAATATTTATGATTATTATTATTAATTTTTAAATAATTTTAAATTAATTATATAATAATGATATATAAATAATATTATTAAAAAAAATGTTTTTAAAGTATATTGTCTACGGATAACAGTGTGGTTTAAAGTATGAAAACAAAAAATATCGTGTGGTGGTGTTATTCTCACACGTTTCACATTTGATGTCTCTTCTGCAACACGTGGCACTCTTCATCATTTTATTTGCTACAGTTTGCATTTCATTATTTTTTTAAGCTAATATAATTCATTCCTTTCATTATTTAACATATATATAATATTTGAAGTCAAACTTATACATTACTTAAATTAATGTCAACATGTCGTTTGATTAATTGAGAACTTTTAATAAAATATCTCGAGTGAGAAAAAGTTGTACTTAATACTTTATAATTTGAGTTTATGGTATATAATAATAATTTCCTTTATAACTTTAGGAAGTAAGTATTGTTTTAAATATATAATAGTAGTCAGAAAAAAAAAACAATACTTAAATTAATGTCAAGAATATGTTGAAAGTTAGGGGTGTCATTCTATTAATCTGCGATATCTAAAAACTTATTCATGTAAAATTAAATAAAGTAATCATATTTTCTTCTCTGTGTATAAATGATGTATTAAGTGAAGAGAATAACTTAAACTGATGACAATTATATGGGAATTTTAAAAAAAAAAAAAAACTAATAACCTTACGCTTACTTAAAAAGAAACGAAAATGTATTATTTAATTTAACCATCTAATAGTTAAAGATTCGTTTTTTTCACTAGCATATAATGAAAGTATTATAATTTAATTTGATATATGTGTATTTATACACACACAAATATGTTTATATTGAGTTTCTAACTTATTTTTCAAGCCAAAAAATTTATTGACTTAATTAATAGTGTTCAGTGATCAATTTTTTTTCAATAGTTTGTATTTGAAGTGGTGTTTTTTGTAACATCCCAAAATTATACAGTCATCAACTATATACTTAGAATAATTACACGTATCAATAACCCAAAACAGTCTTAAAACACAGGGATCGACAATAACGAAAGAGGATGAACGACCGTAAATGAAGAATAATTTAACGAGCGCTTACAAAAGATAAGGACGAACGGTTTACAAAACAAATACCGAACGTCCAACTATAAACAAACCATAAAAGAGCGCTCGCTCACAGCCGCTCGCTACTCTAACTACACTAACTAGAACCGAACGCTCACTGTTCGGCCTTCACTTCAACTTCTACCAGATTTTCTTCAGCAAGCAACCCTTCTTCAAGCCTTTGTTCAAGGGATGCACCACCATCTGCTCACACCCACAACGGATGATCATCGCATTTTGACAAGACGGAAAATACATGGACAGTAGACAACACAATGGAAATGCAAGGGTAAGCTTATAATATTTAATTTATACAATCAACACATACATTTACATTTCAATTCGTACAAACAACATGTGACTTATCCAATAACAAACATAAAAATACATATATATA